TTCTTATCTCAACCCGTGGGAGTTGCATTCTTTTCAATTCTCCTCTCTGTCCCTCTGGGAGCAGGGGGAGGGCAAGAAGAGGGGGGGAAGTGAGTGAACGAATTGCCTGACTGGGTTTAAACCACGACAATGGCTGACATGTATCTCACCACTCACCTTGCTCATCTTGCTCACTCTTAGAAGCCATGCATATGATGCATCAGTATGGTGATAGCTGTATTGTGGAGCACTTGAAATGGCCAATTTATTTTTTTTTTATGGCAGAGGCAAAGCACCCTCTTGCCAGATTCTATTTCCTTGCATTCTTCTCTGAGGATGTATAAGATATACAGTATCTGCCCACAATTTCACCACTGGGTTAATGTGTAGATCACGCTAGGCCTGGCTGTCCACCCATGACCTTGAATTAACCCCCTGTACCTATGGGCAGAAAGAGTGGGTGGAGATCCAGGTGAGGCTGTTTAGGGTAGCTAAAGCCTATTAATTTACTCATGGCCCTGACAGTGTAAATCCAAAGTAATGCCATTCACTTCAAAGTATAAGAAATGGAATTTACAGTAATTGGTCTCTCTCAGTCAAGCCTTCAAGTCCACTCTGTGCTAAAAAAATGGTTTAGGGAAATAATGAGTCATTTAATAAATATTTATGTTGCTCCATATTGTGTGAAATAACTCTTATTGATGGACCCTGAATATTAAAACAAGACCCACTGGATGCTTAAAAACAGTTAAATGACCAAATTATGTTAAACCTGCAGTTGCTGCAGCATGTAAATTTGTGACATTTGTGTAGCCATGTTTTACTCCTATTAATCCATATTTCATGAAAATTCAGACACATCTGATCCCAAAGAGACTTTAATTGATTCTTGTTCCAAATTAAAATATATAAAACATAATTCATTGTAGATATAAAGGCCACATTTACATACATTTGAAGAGGTCTAGCTATACAGATTGATGCTCAGTGCAATTTACTATGGCAAGTGAGGTTCATTAAACAAGGCTTTTAGAAGTCAGTGAGTTAAGTGCTTACTCTAGTGGGTTCTTTTGAATACCTTCCTGTGTCTTTACTCAACTTAGCTGTCTTTATTAGACTAGTCTCTTCAATTCTAATCCTTGTATTAATCAAAACACTTTTATATTCTATGCATGCCCTGATAATTCTCCAACGTACTTCTGACAGCATTTTCTTTTGTTGCCTTTGTGCTTACCATTTACTTTTTCTCTGATAGAACATTATCCAAGGCTTGCTCTCTGTCCCTAGCAGAAGCCATATGACTTCGACATGCTGACTAATTTCAGAAATTTAACCAAGCATTGAAGCTGCAGTAAAATATGAATAATGGTTCAGAGTTATTAAGACTGATTAGTACAGATACTGCAGTGCTGAAATGACAGTCACCAACCAAATTTGGTTGCATGGTTTGGGCCTTAGGTGGTCATGCTGTAGTTGTTCAGTTGGTGCCACTGCTAGGTAGATTTTGAACCTTTGTTGCATCAGACTTTACTCATTGTTTAACATAATACAAGAAGTTTCCTCTCTTCCAATGTAATTTACATTTTAAAATCCCCCCACATACCTTGCAAAACGTAACTCATGGGGCATTTTTCAATCAAGGATATTTTCTGGTTCAGACTCGTTCTATGTCACAGAGCATAGGTTTTTCAAAATATTTTAGGATAATTCATAGAATTGCAAATAAATAAGCCCACTAGAGGGCAATAACATTGCTAATCCAGCTGAAATAACAAAAATCTGGTTGTTTAAAATATTTAAATGATAAGGAAAGCCACAGGAAATCATGTGAGTGACAGGGTATTTGAGCTGACTCCAGTCTGGGAACAGTACTCATACTTTGGTTTTCCTATTCCAAGCATAGAAACTAACAGCCAGGGAAGACATCTTTAGATGTACTGACCCCTGTTCAATGAAGTGACAAGGGCATGTCAAAAGGACAACTTTGTAGGGATATCAGGAACCCTACTTTCCCAGTGTAACTTAACCTGATATGTTAAACCCGTCAGTCTTTAGCCTGAACAGTAACCGCGTTATACCAGTTGGAAAAGTAAAAAAGTTGTCAAATGATCACCAGTTTCAGCCTTATTTAGAAAACCCCTTCCTGACCTGCAAAGTACCAATCAGAAACTCTTACCAGTGTCTTTAAAAAGCTGTCCTTTAGGACTATATGCCAACCCTTACAATATGAGAAGGAAAATGTGAGTAAAAAATGGAGAGATAAAAGAGTTGGTAGAACTATCTTTCCAAAATGTTTTGACCGAAAGAAATTACAGAAAGAATACTTCTTAAGTGGAGAGACCATGTTACCCGATAATGCACTCACCTTCCCCACCTAATTCCTCCGAGCTTTGATGGGGCTGTCTATCATGCGTGTTTCACATCCAATGAAATAAGTAGTAATTTGTTCAGTAAACAAAAGCATAATTTTAATTCTTTACAAATTAAATATTCAAAATCTAGTTTGCTTTACCTTTTTGATGTAAATGTGGGTAGTGTATGAAAATAACGAATACATGCAATGTCAAATTTTTACTGCATAAATTATAATGAGGGATTCGTAAGTCTGCTTATTTGTCTTGCTAGGTAAGACTAATGCAAAACTGTCCATATTGATATTAGGAAAGTTTTGGTGGAAACACATATTCACTTAAATCGTCTGAAAAATAATAAGCTATATTGATCTCATCAGCAAGCTATCTCATATAATGAATTCAAATATTGATTATGTAAACAAGATAGGGTAAAAAGATGGAAAAACATCAGTAAATTAACTTTTGACTATGTGTAAATTAAATGTAGAAATTGTGTTGTATGAATAATTTGCAGTAAATTTGTTTATAGAGTCAATATCTCTTTTCTTTTCTTCCCCAGAATATTCATAAGTACAGAATTTGAACACATTTAAAATGGAGTGGTGAAGCGATGTTAGTTTTCTATATTCTCATTCTCACTATTGCTTAGTTGAAATCCATGAAGATGCAGTTCTGATAAACCTCAACTTAACTGAGTTTAAAACTGTGTGGAAAATAGGTATTATTTGGTTTCAGTTAACTTTTATTGAAAGAACACATTTTTAACAAAGCAAATACTGACTGAATTAAGAAAACCTAGAAACTGTATGGTGATCATTCTTTTCTTTAGGTTTTGTCACCATAATAAGTGGTACATTACCTGGTCTCTTCACAACTCAGGAGTAGAAGCAGCATCTGTGGTCTTTGCAGACAATCCCAATATACTCACCAAGTGTTAGTGAGCTTCAGAGAGTTTGTTTTTTTGCTTGGGTTTTTGTTTTTTCCCTAGGAAAAACTTCCCTAGGACTTTAACTTAACATGCTGAACTACCTCTGGAGGAAACTTTCTGTGTGGATTATACATGGTTGTTTGCTGTTCTCTACAAAAATTAAAACCTTAAAAAAGAATTCTTGAAAATAAATCATGTCTTCATGGGTACTTGGAAGACCCTCCAGACTCAGGAACTCTGACAACTCCGTTGCAGATTTAATTCCAAACAGAGCCTTCTGTAACAAAATATTGCCATCCTGCTTTAAAAAAGTTGAACTGTGTTTAACAGAGAAAATCAGAAATAAAACTGGATAGTTTATAGGGGTTATGCATAATTTTGTAGAAGTGCTATCCCATTTGGTATTACAACAAAATTATTGCCTCAATAGTGTTCTTTGCTCCAAGGAAAAATTGCCACTACCTGTGAATCCTGGTAACAGCAGCTGGGGAAAGCTAAAGAAACATTTTTCAGTAGTTGTGGCATTAGGCAGGTCTCTCAGAGGTCTACACATTTCAAGCAGAGGAAATGTGGGTAGGAAATAAGCATGAAGAAAACAACATTAACAAAAAAGCATATTATTCTTCTGAAAACACACAATTATTAAGAAACAAATTCAGCTAATCTATGTTGTAAAACTAAATTTGCAGATTTATTTGAACAATTAAAGTAGAAATAAAGGTCCCTCTTTAAATTTCACCCCAGTATTAATGAAGTTCTAATGATATCTCTCGTTACTATACGCACATACACTTATATGTAAGGTCTGAAATGGATTAAGGAAATAATAAACATACATACATACTAAATTATAGGTAAATCAGTTTAAATGGAAATACATTCCAGATGCCAAAGGAGATGCTGGTAAAATGCTTGGGATGTGATGTCAAAGATGATGAGTAAATGGGGTTTAGTAGTAGCACTGAATTAATCCTGAAGATAAAGTAGCATTGATATATGCTCCAGGAGGAATTCACACTGGAAACTGTAAACTAGAAGGTCATAACCGTTGCACTAGATGGATGGGGGAATATATTCTGCTTGAGCCTTCTTGTCTGGCACAGTGTAAGTGTGCTGTCGTGCCAGGCCTGCTGAATTCCTCATGACTTGTGATAGCTGCCTGGAAGCAAGGAAAATGGAATATGAAGCCATCTTTTTCTTTTGCCTCGGTAAATATTTAGAGAAGTCCATAGCCTCTCTCTTTTTGCCCAAAATGTATAGTGTTGAGAATATGGATTTCCTAAAATATACAGTCCTGGCCCAGTAAGATCATGGTTATCTACATCAATTCTGATTCACCCTAATCTCCTCTAGGTAGTATGTATGCAAGAAAAAGAAATAACACATATAAATATTAAAACTCAGACTAGAAAGCCTAAAGTTTTTATTTCCAGAACTGATAACCTTGAAATGACAAATTCTGCATCCAACTACAAGCACATTATTCTCCTAAACTGGTGGTTATGTGTTAAAACATAATGTCCAGTGCATTATGCTGTAGATCCATGCGCAAGATAGTTAAAATAACAACTATACACTTTATTATAGTTGAAGCTTTTTCTGTTACCATGTCTTCACAAATTAAAAAAATAAATTCATTATAAGAATATTATTAAATGTTATGTGAAGTCTTATCTCCCAATAACTACATGGTTCTGGCAACTGCAAATTCACTTCTGAAGATTTTTAGAACACATAAGATGGCGGCCTTGGACAGGGTCAAGGTGCTGGTGTTGGGCGACTCCGGTGTCGGGAAGTCTTCGCTTGTTCACCTCTTATGCCACAACCAAGTGTTGGGAAACCCATCCTGGACGGTGGGCTGCTCGGTGGATGTTCGAATCCATGACTACAAAGAGGGGACTCCAGAAGAGAAGACCTACTACATTGAGCTGTGGGATGTTGGAGGTTCTGTGGGTAGTGCCACTAGTGTGAAAAGCACACGAGCAGTATTTTATAATTTGCTGAATGGGATAATATTAGTGCATGACTTAACCAATAAGAAATCATCCCAGAATTTGTATCGCTGGTCTTTGGAAGCACTCAACAGAGATATCGCTCCAACAGGAGTTCTCGTGACAAATGGGGACTATGACCGTGAACAGTTTGCTGATAACCAGATTCCACTGCTGGTAATAGGAACTAAGCTGGATCAGATCCCAGAAACTAAACGGAATGAAGTTTTGACCAGAACAGCTTTTTTGGCTGAGGATTTCAATGCTGAAGAGATTAATTTGGATTGCACCAATCCTCGTTACCTGGCTGCAGGTTCATCCAATGCTGTCAAACTAAGCAGGTTTTTTGAGCTAAATAGGGAATTGCTGGGTATGCTCAAGTGGAAGAGGAGAGTTTACAGGTCATGGAAGGAGGGGCTGGCCACTTGGGAGGAATATAAGGCTGCTGCTAGAGGATGTAGGAAGGCAGCTAGGAGGACTAAGGCATCCTTAGAATTAAACCTGGCAAGAAGGGTCAAGGACAGCAAAAAGAGCTTTTTTAAATACATGGCAGACAAAACTAACACCAGAGGCAATGTAGGCCCACTGATGAACGGGATGGGTGCCCTGGTGACAGAAGATAAAGAGATGGCAGAGTTACTGAATGCCTTCTTTGTCTCCGTCTACTCTGCTGCGGGCAGTCCTGAAGAGCCCTGTACCCCTGAGACCTTAGATGAAGTCAGGTCGACGGAGCGGTTTGCCTTAGTCGATGAGGAATGGGTTAGAGACCAGTTGAGCAATCTGGACATCCATAAATCCATGGGTCCAGATGGGATGCACCCGCGGGTGCTGAGGGAACTGGCGGAAGTCATTGCTAGACCACTCTCCATCATCTTTACCAAGTCTTGGGAAACGGGAGAGGTGCCTGAGGACTGGAGGAAAGCAAATGTCACTCCAGTCTTCAAAAAGGGCAAGAAGGAGGACCCGGGTAACTATAGGCCGGTCAGCCTCACCTCCATCCCTGGGAAAGTGATGGAACACCTTATCCTTGGTACCATCTTAAGGCATATCAAGGATAAGAAGGTTATGAGGGGCAGTCAACATGGCTTCACCAGGGGGAAATCATGTTTGACCAATCTCTTAGCCTTTTATGAGGAAATAACACAGTGGATGGATGATGGCAGAGCGGTGGATGTGGTCTACCTTGACTTCAGCAAAGCATTTGACACAGTCTCCCACAGCATCCTCACGGCTAAAATGAGGAAGTGTGGACTGGATGATCAGGTAGTGAGGTGGACTGCGAACTGGCTGAAGGAGAGAAGCCAGAGAGTTGTAGTCTATGGGGCTGAGTCTAGTTGGAGGCCTGTAACTAGTGGAGTGCCTCAAGGGTCAGTACTGGGACCGGTATTATTTAATATATTCATCAATGATTTAGATGAGGGAATTGAGTGTACTATCAGCAAGTTTGCTGATGACACTAAGCTGGGAGGAGTGGCTGACACGCCAGAAGGCTGTGCTGCCATCCAGCGAGACCTGGATAGGCTGGAGAGTTGGGCAGGGAGTAACTTGATGAAATATAACAAGGGAAAGTGTAGAGTCCTGCATCTGGGCAGGAACAACCCCAGGTTCCAGTATAGGTTGGGGAATGACCTGTTAGAGAGCAGTGTAGGGGAGAGGGACCTGGGGGTCCTAGTGGACGATAGGATGACCATGAGCCAACACTGTGCCCTTGTGGCTAAGAAGGCCAATGGCATCCTGGGGTGTATTAGAAGGGCGGTGGTTAGTAGGTCGAGAGAGGTCCTCCTTCCCCTCTACTCTGCCCTGGTGAGACCGCATCTGGAGTATTGTGTCCAGTTCTGGGCCCCTCAGTTCAAGAAGGACAGGGAGCTGCTGGAGAGAGTCCAGCGCAGGGCAACTAAGATGATTAAGGGAGTGGAGCATCTCCCTTATGAGGAAAGACTGAGGGAGCTGGGTCTCTATAGTTTGGAGAAGAGGAGACTGAGGGGTGACCTTATCAGTGTCTATAAATATATAAAGGGGGAGTGTCACGAGGACGGAGCCAGGCTCTACTCAGTGGCAAACAATGATAGGACAAGGGGTAATGGGTACAAACTGGAACACAAGAGGTTCCACTTAAACTTGAGAAGAAACTTCTTCTCAGTGAGGGTGACGGAACACTGGAACAGGCTGCCCAGGGAGGTTGTGGAGTCTCCTTCCCTGGAGACATTCAAAACCCGCCTGGACGCATTCCTGTGTAACATTATCTAGGTGTTCCTGCTCCGGCAGGGGGATTGGACTAGATGATCTTTCGAGGTCCCTTCCAATCTCTAACATACTGTGATACTGTGATACAAGTCTTACGAGGAATGACTGAGAGAACTAGGGTTGTTTAGTCTGGAGAAAAGACAGCTCAGGAGGGACCTTATCACTCTCTACAAATACCTTAAAGGATGGAGAGAGGAGGTGGCTGGTCTCTTTTCCAAAGTAACAAGTGACAGGACAAGAGGAAACAGCCTCAAGCTGTGCCAGGGGAGGTTTAGATTGGATATTAGGAAAAACTTCTTCACTGAGAGGGTGATCAGGTATTGGAACAGGCTGCCCAGGGAAGTAGTGGAATCACCATCCCTGGAAGTGTTCAAAATCCGTGTAAATGAGGCCCTTAGCGACATGGTTTAGTGACGGACTTGGCAGTCCTGGGGTAACGGTTGGACTTGATGATCTTAAAGGTTTTTTCCAACTTAGATTGATTCTATGATTCTGTGAATCATGATTCTATGATTCTAAGGTGTCATGCCAAAAACAAAAGCCCATACTCACTGGTATGCAAATATAAGCCTCTTCTATGTACACATCACTAACTGGGTGAAATTTCAGTAGATTAGTAGCCCCTATTCTTTGCATATGGAAACTTTTCAAGTTAATCTTTCAGCTGTTTTGGTGATATGTCCTTTGCACTATGTTTTGAAAGGAACTTTAAGCACTCTAACCAAGATCAGAATCCAAGTAATAAATATAATTTAAAATTTTAATTATTTTCTGTTAGAAGATTGATTTATTTTCATATTTCTACCAATTATCCATTATGAATGGATTAGTGGGCTTTCTTTCTTGGAGTTACTAACACCCAGCGAGAGGTAGAGTAGAAAAAAAGATAATCTCCATAGCTTTCTTCTTAGTCACTGAAAGAGGTTCCTTCTAAATGAATAGGTCTTTAACTTAACATGCTGAACTACTTCTGGAGGAAACTTTCTGTGTGGGTTATACATGAAGCCAAAGCATAGATGCAATTATAGATTACATTATAAATATAATAAGATATACTTAGAAGAAATTGATTATATTTTTTCTGAGGATGAGTCCAAATGTGTAGGCTTTCTCTACCTAGTATATGGTTCTCTGGAAGTTTGAAATTCTGCTATTATGATGGTTAGATCATTAAATAATGTATTTCTAAAAAAAATCAGAACTAAAATACAGTGAGTCATAGACAGGATGGTTGTGATCTAATTTTGTGCTTAAGTCACAATTTCTTCTAATTTTCTTTGCCTGAAAAGTAATACATAAGTATTTCCCAAGTATCTAGCCTAGCCAATAGAACTAACTTCTGGTGAAATGTTAGAAGGAAACATTAAGCTAAAGTATTCCCTTTAAGAATTTTTGGGTTTGTTTCAGTGTCTTCATTTTCTGCATATGATTTGCTAATTAGTTTCCCTCAGCAAATTTAGCAAGAAATGCCATTAGTTATAAAATTCTTCCTTTAGAATTAATCTTCAGGAAGCAGTCTCTATTATGATATGACTCAGAAAGACAAAAAACAGAAAGATTGTTTCAAGAATTCTGGATGCTTGGTAGTTAATGGTCCTCTACAGTGCTATAGTTTCTTGCTGCCAAAATCATTAAAGGTTCCTTATGATTTTACCATGACCAGCATTTTGTGTTTACGGGGTGAAATCCTTAATGCAGGGAGACACAGAGGAACTCCGGAATGTGACTTTCTCTGTCCAGCTTTCACATAACACTCACTGCTTTTAGTTATGCAGCTCTCTAAAGTATTGTAAACTCAAAGACTGACTAGATTCACCAGTGTGCTCTGCTCTGAAAACACAGAATAACTATCATTGCAGGTTTACTGGGGTCTGAATTCCTTGGCATGGTAACAAATCTGATCTCAACAGTTGAAATATTTTTATTTTTTTAAAAGTTGATATTTCATGTATTCATATCATTAAGTTATGAAGAGAATATGTTCTGAACACTTTCTAGTATGAACTGTTTTGCAATTCTTAAAACATAAGAAAATATATAGAAAAATACACTGATAAAAAGCAAAGTTTTCCCAAAGCAAAATGTTGCTTATTCTTCATCTACTGACACACACTACTCACTCTACTTCTGTGTTAAAATATTTTTTTGTCTCTGGATTATATATTACACAAATGTACATAAAATGGTGACATTCAGTTGTTAACTGACAGACACCTACACATACATATAGGTTATAATTTCAGCCGTCTAATCAGAGATTCAGGCTGATCCATGCTGATTTACATTAGGTGATTTCACTACAGTGTGTATCATGAAAGACTTTGTATACTGTGGAACTTTATGGAGGAATGGATGAACATGAAATATTTATGCTGAATAAAAAAATACAATACCACTTTTCTCATTTTTGGTGGCCTTCTATGATGAGGCTACAGAACTGATGGATGGGGTAGGGCAGTTGGTGTCATCTACCTGGACTTGTGAAAAACGTTTCACACTGTCCCGCATGATGTCCTTGTCTCTAAATTGGAGAGACATCAATTTGATAGGTGAACCACTCGGTGGATAAAGAACTGGCTGGATGGCCGCACACAAAGAGTTGTGGTCAATGGCTCAATATCCAGCTGCAGACGAGTAACGAGTGGTGTCCCTTGGGGATCGGTGTTGGGACCAGCCTTGTTCAACATCTTTGTGGGTGACATGGAAAGTGGGATTGAGTGTGCCCTCAGCAAGTTTGCCGATGACACCAAGCTGTGTGGTTCGGTTGGTAAGCTGGAGGGAAGGAATGCCATCCAGAGGGACCTTGACATGCTTGTGAGGTGGGCTGAGGCCAACTTCATGAAGTTTAACCATGCCAAGTGCAAGGTCCTACACCTGGGTCGGAGCAATCCCAGGCACAGCTACAGGTTGGGCAAAGAAGAGATTCAGAGCAGCCCTGTGGAGAAGGACTTGGGGGTGTTGGTCGATGAGAAAACGAACATGAGCCGGCTTCAGTGTGCACTTGCAGCCCAGAAAGCCAACCGTATCTTGGGCTGCATCAAAAGGAGCGTGACCAGGAGGTTGAAGGAGGTGATCCTGCCCCTCTACTCTGCTCTTGTGAGACCTCACCTGGAGTATTGTGTGCAG